CTAATCATGTTAGTGGTGTTAAAATGCAGTTGCTTGCTTCCACCTCGAGGGATTTCATCACGACATACATTGCAAACGGCTAACTTTACGTCTTTATCGGACACTTTGAAAAACTTCCAGACGGGAGAACTCATGTTGCCACTAGTAAGCTCCGCTCCGCTGTTGTTTACCTGTGCGCCGTGCATGCCCGTGTGAAAAAGTCGCGCGAGTAATTTACGTCAAGTGATCGACTTTTTTGATCGGCACTTTTGGGGTTCGCCGATCAAGCTATTTTTAGCCAATATCGGCCGATCATGATCGGTGGCCGATCAATCGGAGCATCACTATCACATGTGTTAAATAATGAATGATTGAATGTTACATTTATATAGCACTTTTTTAGAACCCAAAGTACTTTACAGAACCAAAGAGGAGCCACTTGAACCACCCCCACTGTATAGCCCCCACCTGGATGATGTGACGGCAGTCATTCTGCACCAGTACGCTCACCACACAGTAGCTAAGGTGGTGAAGGGGCAGGAGAGAATTCACCAGTTAGATACAGGGGAAGATATTTTACCCCCATGATCCCTACTAGACAAGCTGTCAGAAGATGAATGACATCATGTGTCTTTTTACAGTATCGCACTTACAAGGTGAGGGATGGCCGAGGTGGACAGCCTCTCTCATTCCTCCTGTGTGACACTATGGGATTGGAAGCAAATAAAGTGGGACAGGAAAATGAAAATAAAAATGCAGGGGTGCACATTGAAGATATTGACAGCATCCTGAAGGGCTACATACCGGATGGGTACCAGGTAAGAACTGTGTATCTAACCAGGCCTCAAAAACACCTGCTGTATGAACACATGCAGGTCTGATCACTGTAATAGCTTACAGAAGTCACATGTTTATTAGTTTTCTTCCCAAACACTTTTCTGAGGATTCCAAATATCATTCACTTCTTCACATTTGTTTTTTTAGCTTTAATAATATACTGCTGTTACACAAATGTCACATGAAATGACTCCCTTAACATTTTGCTGGTGTTTCTAATGATATCAGTGTCAGTGTCTGTCTGAATGTACCTCATTTTGTTTGTCTAGTTTAACCCTGAAACACCATGGAGCCAAGATGGTGATCAAACTCACATTCCACCACTTCAGGAGAGAATCCACTGTGTGGTGTTTGTGGTGAACGCCTCAAAACTTCCACTTATGAATTCAGACAAAGACAAAAATAAATTCATTCAAATCAAGAACAAAGCTAACCAGCTGGGTTAGTGACGGCCGTCGCATTTGTGATTTGAATGTGTGATGTGTTGAACTCAAACTGCCTTTCCTGAAATGTGAGTAATACTAAATACTCATTCAGTAACATGAAAAATGAACATTGAATAATGTATTCAGTGTGAACACAGAGAAGTTCAGTTTACTGGACTGGAAAATGGCAAACTGGATGTTTTCTGTACCTTTGGCATAAACAGTTCTCATGCTGTAACTGAAGGAGCTCCTGGATGCTCCTTCACACAGAGCTGCTCCATCTAGGAGAAACTCGAGGGCTTTCTGTCACATAGGGCCCATTTAAATGGTTGCGAATGAACATTGTGACATGATTATGAGCTCAGCTGAACACATGTGGATTCAGGAAGGGCAGAGTGATGCTGGCAGGTGCCTCTGAGTAAGACAGACAGTGTGCTGATTGCTATGAGTTTGCTCAAGAAACTGTCACTTGATGACGGCTTATTCCATAGAACATACAATATGTCACTAGTGAAACTTTTCTATTGATGTTTTTAGACGTCCCTCTAATGGTTCTACTGACCATGTTGGACATAGTGTGCCCAGACGTGGAAAAGGACTTGAAGAACGTGTACTGGAGTACCTACTTAAAGGAGAAGGTGAGTATCAGGGTGTAACACTGAAATCGGTCCTGAAAGCTGTACTGACGTATCAGGATAGTATTGGTGGATACTTGCACCAGGCCCCCTTGACTAGGAAATGGACCTGAATTTCTGCAGCAAATAAATGCAGTACAATGAATGAGTGAAAGGTGACCTGCAATGAGCCGACATCCTGGCCTGGGTGTCTCCTTCCTCAGGTCCTCTGTTTCCTGAGATAGACTCAATGATGGATGGATCACAAATCTGTGTCTGACATTTTGTTGCCCTCAAGAGCTTTAAAATTTTAATTGCACATCCATGTTCAGCAGCAACTGCTAAAGACAAATTTTTACCATTTCAAAATGAGTTTATTGCAATGCTGTTTCACATTAATTTCAGCAAACAGAAAATGAAGAAAATACATTTCATGAGGAATGTATATGTTAACTGCATGTCTCTCTGCAGATCGAAAAAGCAAGTCAATTACTGGGCATCCAAGTGTCAAGTGTGTTTCCAGTGAAGAATTACTGCCGCGAGGATAAGCTGGACATGTGCTGTGACATCCTGCTTCTCACCGCAATGCAGAAAATGCTACACTTATCTGACGATTTCTTTGCTAATTTTGAGTAAGACACAGAGTGAGAGATGGATTTAAATTTGTCTTTTCACTCAGGCATATATGATGTAAGGAATAATTGACTCCGGACCGTTGAATTATTACAAAATAATTGAATTATTAGAAAAATAATGCACACCCGAGGTGTAACGGCCACTCCGCTTCGCGTCGTGGCCGCATCACCACCTCGGGTGTGCATTATTTTTCTAATAATTCAACGGTCCGGAGTCAATTATTCCGCTTATACTACGGTTGCCACACCTCAAGACATCGATCAGATGATATATTTCAAGGGATTCGTCCGGTTTTTCTACTTAAATC